GCCTTGAGTCTCAGCACTGTGTCCTTAACAGCACTCCTGCCTGCACGAGCCTGCCCCGGGGGGCACGTGCCCCTCACCCAGGCCACCAGACTGTCCGCTGCCCATTGGTGTCTGTCCCCAGACCCTCCCTACGGCCACCTGTGCTCTTGGCTGAACTTTGGGGCTGACAGGACCCTGGGATTGGTCTCCGGCTCGGGACTCTTTGGAGCGGGTCACGGAGTTGCGGTGCTGTGACAAGTGCAGCTTTTCTGGAACGTGGTGTCTGGACCCCCAGATGTACGTTCTGGCCCGGGTGTGCTGTGGACGGGCCCTGTGCAGGACGGGTTTCCGGGCCAGTGTCTGAGTACCCTCTTCCTGGAGGTCGCATGGTGACCTGCGGCCCTGCTCTCCAGGTGGCTTCCCGCGTACCCCCGAGGATCTCTGTGAATGGAGGGTCTCTGCTGGCTCGTGCAGCTCAGAGAAACCGCTGGCTCTCCTCAGTCACACAGGCTTGAACTTGCTGGGCTGGAAATCCCCACGCCAGCGTTGTGGTCAGCATTGCCCCGAGGGGTGCTGGCCACTCCTCCTTCCCCGCCCGCAGCCTGAGAGCCCGGAGTGCCTTGCCTTGCCCGGGACGGCGGCACAGCTTCCTGAGACGGCAAAGCAGTGGCAGACGGAAGGGGGGTGCGCCGGGCGGCCGAGCAGATGGGACCCTCCCAGCCACGTGCACCAGGCCCGGCCATCGGGGGCGTAGCCTGCCCTGGCTCGGCCTCCCCTGGGCTGGGAGGCAGCTTGAGCCCTGTGCTCGGGTTCTGGGAACATCAGCAGGCAGCCCCCAGGGACCATCCGTGGAGGCTTCCTTCGGAGAGGTCTGGCTGGGATGCAGCTGGCCTGGGTCCCCACAGCCCAGGAAGGGCCGGCTGGGGGGGTCTGCTGACCTGACTGGTCATGTGTGCAGCTATGAGTTGGGATGGCATCATCGGTGTCTACGGGGTGCCTTTGGGGTATCACACACGGCGTGCCCAGGAGTCGGCCACGCTCACGGGAGCCTGTGTGCTGAGCTTCCTAGGGGCAGTGGCCTGCTGACCCGGCGGGCCTGGGGCTGCTTAGACAGGGCCAAGACTGGCATATTTCTTGGGTACAAGGTCTGTTGGGTCACACGAGTGTGGACACGTCACACAACAGACACACATGCAGGGGCACACAGGCACGCACAGACACACACGATCGTCACCTGTGATCACACAACAGACACGCACACAAGCAGGCACACACGTGATCACACATGCGAATACACAAGACACCGGCCACATGTGGCTGGCCTTGCCATGCATGCCGTTGTGCGTCCTGTGGCCAGAACCATGTGACCGCATGTGCAGGAGGCCCCCTCAGGAGGGCCAGTGCCCTGCTCCAGAGCTGACTCGGTGGGAACCAGGCTCACTGCAGCTCACACCTGGGCATTTCTTCCTGGTTCTGGCCTGCTCCCAGCAGCAAGCTGGAGCCTGCACAGCCCCGGGGGCCTGCGAGTGTGGTCGAGGAGACGAGGGAACATGATTCTAGGGAAATGTGGAAGGAGTCCCTGAGCCCAGTGGGCGGTGGCCTGGCCTGACCCCAGCTCTGCCCTGCAGGGGACAGTCTGTGCTGCGGCGAGCCTGAAGACTGTGTGTTCCATGAAGGCATGCTCAGGTCCTCCTGCGTGGACCCTCTACATGCCAGGACTGGGGAGCAAGCCTAGGAGTCACGCACTCGCTCTGGGTCAGCCCACATGTGTCTGGGCTCCATGTGCCTCCCGGGGAGCCATAGGCTGTGCCCTACACACCATGAGCCCCGGGCTGGCCCCTACACCCTGTGAGCCCTGGGTTGTCCCTGTAGGCAGGAACTGGACTCATGTGAGCCCTGGGCTGGCCCCTACACCCTGTGAGCCCCGGACTGGCCCCTATAGCCTGTGAGCTCCGGGATGTCTGTCCCCCACACCGTGTGAGCCCTGGGTTGTCCCTGTAGGCAGGAACTGGACTCATGTGAGCCCCGGGCTGTCCCCGGCTCTGCCTCATGGGAGGAAGACTCTGGATCATGTCCCGAGACCAGCTGGTCGCCATCTGGGACCGTGGCGTTCCTTTCTTTGTTCATCATTTCCTGTATTTGGGGAAGGAGTTTCTCAGTGTTTGGCCCTAAAGAATGTGTTTGTGCTGTCCTGTGCAGGCGTAGAACGGGGGAGGCGGGGGCCCTTTGCAGCGCCACTGGTCAGGCTCTTCCCTTTCTCAAGCACCTCTCAGGTCCCAGCAGGCGACGGGGCCTTTGCCAAGTGGGTCAGTGCGGAAGCAGGAGGCCAGCGGTGGGATGCTGATCCGCACACCTGGTTTTGTCTCACCCTGGCCTTGCTCATCCCAGTGGCCAGCCGCAAGTCTGGGAGGGCGGCGGTGCCTCCCTAGAAACACAGGCAGACTGGGGGTGTGCAGGCACACTTCCTCCTGAGTGCTTATGCGGTATACACAGGCAGACTGGGGGGTCAGTTTCCTCTCCTGAATCTTGCCACGTGATGAGAGCCCCACCCTCTGCCAAGGTTGCCCTCGCCCCCGGTGACTCTCAAAAGCTGAGCCAGGCTCCCTGGTGTCTGTGTCCCTGGCTGGGTGGTCCAGAGGCCCTTGTCCTTCTCTCAGACACGATGGAACTCGGGGTGCTGCCCAGGCCATCTTCACTGGAGTCCTTCTTGGGTCGGAGTCGGAGCTGCTCCCCTGGGGAGCCTCCTCCCAGGTTGGGCCGCGCAGGCAGTTAGGGGTCCCCTCTCCGGGGTGCCCCTTGCATCTCTCTAATGCGCTGAGTGCTGAGTCTCATACCTCGGGATGTGTCATCGGGGAAGAGAGACGGAGTATCTCCTGCCTCTCTCCAGGGGGCGGGTGATCGGGAGGGTGACTGGCTGGGTCACAGGTGGAGTGACTGTCCGGGTGACAGGGCGAGAGGCAGGGTGACGGGGTAGGGTCACAGGATGGGGTGAGAGGCAGGGTCACAGGGTGGGGTCACAGCAGGGTGACGGAGGATGACAAGTTGCGGTGGCAGGTGGGGTCACAGCAGAGTGACAGCAGGGTAACAGGAAGGGTGACAGGCAGGGTGACTGACAGGGCGGGGTGACAGCAGAGTGGCAGTTCAGGCTGTAGGCCAAGCCGTCCTGAGCTGGTGAGTCACCGTTCCATCAGATACCGGCCCCAGGACAGTGCTGGGCAGACGGGTGTCGCTTCTGTGTGTGCGGTCAGCTCAGGGCCCCGCTGCAGCCAGTGTCTGCCTCTTACCCCAAGTCTTTGGAGGTCTGCCTGCACTTCAGTGATACGAAGGCCCTGGCTCTGGCCAGGTGGGCTGTCTCCTGGGTCCGGCCCAGCGCACCGACAGCCCGTCCTGACTCCCCTTCACACTTTCAGGGAACACCCTCCGGTCCCCGGGGACCCCAGAGCCCTTTTGTGTGTTTGAGTGTTTGGAGCAGAAGAGGAGCATGCGGGGCTGTGTGGATGCTCGCACCTGTACTTGGGGAAACTGAGGCCCGGAGACCGGGTGCTACTGCCAGAGTCTGGTAGGCGCTCTGATGCTCAGGAACATGACTTGCCAGTAGCGGCCAGCTCTGCTGACCGGCTGCTCTTGGTCCAGTCGGTGCTGTTCAGGGGAGACCAGCACTGCGCTTGGCTCCACAGGGCCGAACTAGGCCCGCGCTTGTCCCCGGGGGCAGCGTGTGTCTCTGCTGGGTGTGTGGCTCTGCTCTGAGGTGGGTTCTGAGGACCTTGCACCGGAGGTTTTACTGTTGCTTTGGCGTTCACGGGACGCTGTCCCAGTCACAGCAGAAAGGCCCTGGTAGAATCTCAGTGCATAGCTGTGGTGTGTTCAGAGTGGTCGTAAGCAGCCTTGGGACGGAAGGGGACGCTTGACCTGCAGCGCGGGCGTGCACGAGCAGCGGCTCTGGGACCCTCGCTGGGGCTCTGTGCCCTGGACCAGCTGGGCCCACAAGCAGATACGGGGCCATCGTCCTGAGGGCAGAGTGGCGGGGCTGCCATGGGTCGGGGGAGGGGTCTGGGGGGAGGGAATGTTCTCATGGGAGCAGTTGCAGTTTAGACAGTGAAGAGGCCCTGGAGGCGTTTGAGCTGCAGGGAGGTGCAGCTGACGGTGATGAAGCTGAGTTGGGTGTGCGTGATGTGATTTCAGCAGTTCGACCCTCATCACTGTTAAAGGCGCCAGTGTGGGTATGTGACATACACGGCCCTTAAGTCCGTGCATTCCTCTTGCGTTGCCTTGCTTTGCCTGAAAATGTGTCCTTTGCTCACTTTTGTTCATTTATTATTCAAAAAAGTTTTTAATTGAATCGCCATGAGATGGGCTGGAGCCATAGCACAGTGGTAGGGCATTTGCCTTGCATGCGGCCGACCTGAGTTCGATTCCTCCGCCCCTCTCGGAGAGCCCGGCAAGCTACCGAGAGTATCTCGCCCGCACGGCAGAGCCTGGCAAGCTAACCATGACGTATTCAATACGCCAAACACAGTAACAACAAGTCTCACGACGGAGGCGTTACTGGGCCCGCTCGAGCAAATCGATGAACAACGGGAGGACAGTGACAGTGACACCATGAGATACAAAGCCGTTTACGACTGGGCGTCAGCCCTGCGATGTTCCGACCCCGTCCCTTCACCGCTCTGCATCTCCCGCCCCCAGAGTCCTCAGTTTCCCTCCCGCCGACTCCCCCACCCCCGTGGCAGGCACGTTCCTTCTCTCTCTCCCTCCTGCTCTCTCCGTCTCTGTCTCTCCTCTGGGCGTTGCGGTCTTCTTGGCTCACTCTGAAGACCAGCACAACGGCACGCACAGCCCAGGTGTGCTCTCAGCCGCGCTCTGACTCGCGAAAAGCAGAAAACAAAGACCCCCGGGCACTCGTGCCGCTCAGGGACGGAGGCAGGGGCTGGCTGGGGGCACGGGCCGGTCAGGAACAGATCCGTGAAGCGCGAGATGCTGAGTTTGGCGGGGTGGGTGATCCGCTGCCCCTTGCTCTTCAGGTGAAGCCAAGAATCTGCCCACGTACCCGGGGCCCAGCAAGCTGCGGGACTGCTACTGCACCGTGAACCTGGACCAGGAGGAGGTCTTCAGGACCAAGGTGGTGGAGAAGTCCCTGTGGTAAGCTCGGCGACCGGAGCACTGCCGGGGCGCGAGGGGACGCTCCCGTGGCAGGGCACAAGCGCGGTGCCCCACGCAGGAGACCTCCGGAAGCTTCCCCCTCCCCGCAGGCTGCCCGAGAGCCCCCCGTGGCAGGGACTGGGAAACGCGGGGTAGGCTTGGGGGAGCGCCTGGAACTGTGCAGCGGGGGTGCTGATGTCCACGTGATTTGCATGCCGGGGTCCCCACACCCACCCCAGAGGCCGCGTGGCAGGAAGTGGTGGCACCTCATGGTCACAGCAGTTCGGAGGCGCTGCCTTGGGGTGAGGTGCAGAGCCTTCCGGGGCGGGCCGGGTGTGGCACCCGCGGCAGCTTGTTTGTGCTGAGCCTCTTGGCGGAGGAGACCAGGAGGCCCCGCCCAGCCGCCCGCCCCCAGCCCACGTCTCCGCTCCGGGCCGCGGTGGGTGTGCGGGGCAGCCAGACTTCTATTCTGAGCTGGGAGCATTTTTAGCAGATGAATTATAACCTGCCCGCTGCTGCTGCTCCTCGTGGGACAGACTGTCGGGCCTGGTGACCGAGTGCGTTTACCTTTCAGAGAACTGATAGACGCCCACCCAACTGCCCACCCCCGGGGCCTGGCAGCGGCTCCTTCGTCTGCCCGGGTGACCTGGCCGCTGCCTGCCGGGGGTGGCCAGGTCACTGTCTGTCTAGGGGGGCTGGTCACTACCTGCCCGGGTGGTCTGGTCATTACGTCCTCGGGGGGTGGCCTGGTCGCTGCCTGCCAGGATGGGTGGCCTGGTCACTGCCTGCTGGTGTGGCTGCTGCTCCTGGGGCCGGTGGCGGCAGTTGTGCCCTGAGTGCGCTTGTGCAACTGCAGGTCCCAGATTCCGTGTCCAGGGCAGCTGGGCGAGGGCAGGGGTCTCCCAGCCCAGCGGCCCCTGGTGCTCATCAGCACAGTCACCCACACTCCTGTGAACGCCCAGTCCGAGCTCTGCTCTGCATCCCGCACCTGCTGCCCTGCCACCAAAGGGGGCTCCTGGGAGGAGTGGGTGAGTGCGCCCCGAAACAGAGCCAGCCCTTCTCCGGCCTGGGAGCCGCAGGGTGAGCCAGCCGTTGTGCGGAACATCCCTTGGAGTGTCCTGGGGAAGGTCTTGTGGGGCGTCTGCAGAACAGGCCGCGGAATGACCCCTGGGGTGTCCCGTGGACGTCCCCTGGAATGTCCTAAGGAGTGTCCCGTGGAGTGTCCTGTGGATCATCCCGTGGATCATCCTGTGGAACATCCTATGGAACATTGCTCAGAGTGTCCCAAGAGTGTCCCGTAGATTGTCCTGTGGAACTTCTCCCTGTAGCCGCAGCCTGAGCCGCAGGGCCTCGCTGTGGTCAGCCTGGACAACGCCCCACACCAGTGGCAGCAGGACCAGAAGCCACAGGGAAGGGCTGCGTGTGCTGAGACCACTGGCACAATGCCCCCTTCTTTCAGCCGGTGGTCCGTGTGTCTGGGGTGTGGAACAACCGCCCCCCCCTCTGCTCCCACCATGTGCTCATCTTGGCTCCTTTCTTCTTGGACCTTGATTCCCTGGTGGGCGCGGGGCAGTGAGGAGAGGCTGGGTAGGGCAAGAGCGGGTAAGGAGGAGGCACCTGAGGGGGGTTCCCGGCTGCAGCCAGGTTCTTGCCTCCTTCGTGGCAACAGGGGGCCATGCTGCTCTCCCCCGGGAACGGCAGCAGGGGACGCAGGCACGGCCCCATTCGGCCCTCCGTCTCTGTCCGGACCCCACACCCCCGAGTCCCCACCTCCATCTCTATCGGGATCGGGCTCCCAGCTGCCCCCACCTCCGCCCTGCCCCCACCTCCACCCTGACCCCCATCTCCGTCTGACCTCAATCTCTGTCTTGACCCCATCTCCATCCAGACCCCCATCCTGAGCCCTGACCTCTGTCCTGAACCCCTGGCTCCAGCTGGCACTCTCCCCCCCACCCCTGTGTCATGCCCCATAACAGGAATCCCTCAAGCCGCCTGGTGTGATGGCCCGGGCAGGAGCGCAGTGGCCCCAAACCCACGCCGTGTGTTCTGTCACGCCCCGCTCCGTGCCCCCTTGAAGGCTGAGTTCCTGCTGGGTCCCTGTGTGGACTGAGTGCGAGTGAGTGGAGCGTGGTCGAAGAGCTGTTCCGGGCTTGTCTCTTCCCGTGAGCGAAGGAGAGTGGCAGGAGGGCCGACTTAGGCCGAGAGAGGCGTGTGCCTCGCCTTATGGGGGCAGCCAGAGGGGCTGGGGCAGGTGGGCCTGTCGGGCACTGAGCCCCGCCTCGAGACGGGAAGTCTCCCCCGCAGCCCGATGCCGGGGCTCGGCTGTCACTGCAGCCTGTGCTGGGAGGGCCGGGGGCTGTGTGACTCCCCTGCGTGCCTGGGCCGGGGAGGTGCCGCTGCGGGGGGCTGTCGCTCTTCTCGGGGGCGCGCAGCTCTTCCCTGCAATTACAGTGCCGGGGCTGTCCCTGGGGGCGGAAGCCGGCATTCACATCCTCCGCCAGCCACACTATTTACGGCGAGCCAACTCCTCTGGGCGGCTTTCCGTCCCTGTGAAGGGCTCCTCCCGCAGGGCCATTAGTCACCATCCCAGCGGTGACCTTGGCGGAGGACAAAGCGGCTCTGTGTGGAGACCCCCTGGTGAGGCGCATGGGAAGGGGAAGTGCGCTGTGTGGCTCTTTGAGTCCACCAAGAAGGGGGCATTGTCCCAGCGCACGGGGCGGGCAGCCCCCCGTGCCCATGACCCCGTTTCCTCTGCAGAGATGTGTCCGGGCGAGGAGCTGCCTGGCGGGACAGTCCTTGACTGGCCCCGACTGTGTGTCGGCCCCCAGAGTCCACCTCTGCCTTGGCCACACGGTGGGCGGGGGGCCGGGGGGCCGGAGCAGAGTCAGGGCCTGGGCAGCCCTCACGGCAGCCCTGTCGGCTGCAGCGTCTCCCATCCCTGTGGGCTGGGCGCGGCCCCCCAGAGCCCCGGAGAGTGCTGTCCACTCACCCCAGCCCACCCAGGTGGGGGTAGGGGGAGGCAGGGAGCCCACTAGTGCCGAGGAGGCTCGTCCACAGGCAGACTCCCAGCCACGCTCACCCACGGGTGCTCGACCCTGGGAGCCCCAGGACCTTGCTCCCGACTTCCGGCCTGTTTTGCTCGACTTTTTGCTTTGATGCTCCACACCCAGTCATGCTCTGGACTCAGGGGTCACTCCTGGCCAGTGTTCCATCATGCCAGGGGGGCCTACCTCCAGCGTCAACACCTGCGCTCAGACCTTTGAGCCATATCTGAGGCCCCTGATTATGTTTTTTATTTAATTTTTGGGTCTCTGGGCAACTCCAGGCGGTGATCAGGGATTACTCGGGATCTGTACGCATGGATCACTCCTGGTGGGCTCAGGGGACCATGTGGGGGTGCCACGGATCAAACCCGTCCTGTCTGCATGCAAGGCAAAAGCCCTGTCTCAGGCCCCTGTGTTTGGTTTTTAAAGCCGGCTTTATTAAAATGCAAACATACGTCAGAAAATACCATTAAAGATGAGCAATTCCAAAGAACAAAGCTTAACACACACACACACACACACACACACACACACACACAGAGAGAGAGAGACACAATAAAAACAAAACAAAAGGGAATGAAAAATAAAGTGAAAGTTCTGGTTCCCCCTCTTTGAGCTGGCTTAGTGCTCTCCATGGCAGGCCAACACTGATAGGACCTGTCTGTCCCCATCCCTGTCCCTGAAGCTGGCGCTGGGCATGTCATGTGTCTGCTCTCAGCCCTGCTGGTCGGGAGGAGGCCCCCTCGAAATGCTCAGAGGAGTGCTCATTCACGGGGACGCAGCCTGACGCCTGTGTTTTGTGCATCAGGCTGGTGCGGGTGTCTCCCCTGCAGTGCTGGGTCAGGGGCGCAGCTGCCAGGAGGGCTGTGTGCCCAGTGCAGCGTGTGCACGAAGCCACAGCACTGCAGAGTGCACGTCGGCACAGATGGCAGATGTGCATGCAGGCTTGGGGACGAGGAGTGTGAGTGTGTGCGCAGACTCGGGGTGGGGAGTGTGAGTGACCATGCAGGCGCGGGGTGAGGGGTGTGGATGCCGGCCCGGCCTCCTCCGCTGCAGCCTCACGGCCCGTGTGCTCATCCCTGGGCCCAAGGCGCTGCAGGGACACCCAATGGGGGTGGACGTCGGCAGCCGCCCACACGGCCCCTCCTTCTTGCATGCATCTATGCAGTGAGCCAGGCGGGAACCCGGGACTCTCCCGTTGCTGCTTGCCATCAGCTTAGAGAGCGTGTATGGACCGGCGTGTGTGTGTATATGCATGTATGTGCATGTTTACATATCTGTCCATAAGTGCACCATCTATGTACATGTCCATCACGTGTGCACATGCATGCACATATACTTATTTCCTTATGTGTGTTCACACGTGTGCATGCGTGTGTGTCCACATGTGACTCTGCATGTGTGCACACTGGTCTGCGTGTGAAAGCTATGTGTCCGCACGGTGCGCACATGTGTGTGCACTGTTGGTGCTGTGGATGGACGTCATGAAATTTGCACCCGTGGCCACAGTGCAGGGGACGGTTTGGTTCCCGAGAGGTGCGGGTGCAGGAACGCGCTCAGGGATGACGCTCACAGTCCCTTCGCAGCAGCCTGGCTGTGTCCTGAGCGGGCAGGGGACCCAGGAACGGGAGAGGCTGGTTCCGCGCCGAGACCGGGGGTCCCGAGAGGACAGGCTCAGCTTGGACCATGGCACATCCCACGTGCCTGGCCTTTCTGCCAGCTGAGGAGCCAGACCCCAAGCCTGATGCGGTTTCCCAGACAGCCCTGCCTGGCTGCGGCGCTGGCCTCATGGTGGCCGCAGGGAAACGGGCTGAGTGCCGGGTGGTGTGAGCTGTGTGCTGGTCTCCTGGGGGGTGGTCTCAGGGGCCCGCTGCTGTCTGCAGGGCCCCCTGTGCTGGTGGGTCTGGGTGGCCGTGGAGAGCCGTGGATTAGAGTTCACGGATTTGCCTCAGACCTTATGGTCCCTGAGAGTGTGAAACGGGCCAGGGGTCCCGAGATTCCTAGGGGAGTTTCTGCCGGGCTTCCCGGACGAGGTCTTTGCAGCAGCCCCTCCCGGCAGGGGGCCTGCAGCCAGCTCGCTCGACCTCTTGGGGAAGCTGCGGCTGTGGTGTGGACACGGGGCCCGACCTGCTGCTTCCGGACCCAGGGCCATTGGCCTCGCGGGGGTCAGTCCTGCCCCCGCCTGCCGCTCACGGCACGTGCCCCTGGGCCCACGCAGGCCCAAGCCCGGGCACAGCCTCCGCAGCCCCACACGCTGGCCTGCACTGAGGGGGGCTTCCCGAAGGGGACGCGGGTGGGCTTCCCGGCCCGACCCTGCGCCCCAGCACGGCCCTCTCCTGGGGCCCGTCTCTCCCCCCGCAGAACAGCAGCGGCTGCTGGTGGCCGTGGCAGGGCAGGGGCCACGGGGGACGTGGGGTCGTGGGGCAGCAGGCGCGGGACACGGGTGGGAGTGGGCCCTGGGGTTGGGCCAGGTCGGCGAGAGGCCGGGGGCGGGATGCGCGGGTGCGGGTGCGAGTGAGCGGCGCCTCCCCGCAGCCCGTTCTACGGCGAGGACTTCCACTGCGAGATCCCGCGCAGCTTCCGCAGCCTGGCCTTCTACATCTTCGACAGGGACGTCTTCCGGCGGGACTCCATCATCGGTAGGTGGGACGCGGCCTGCCCGCCGCGTGGCCCTCCCCCAGGGGTGACTGTTCTCCCGCCTCGGCCCCGTCCCGCACCCTCCATGGTTCTCGCGGGCGTCCGTGCTGCTGGTCTTTGTGATGTGCCGAGCTGGGCGGGCGCGTCCCTACCCTGCCTGTCCAGGGGCGCCAGCTCTCTGGGGTGGGTGCAGTTCAGAGGTCCTGGGGCCCTTGACACACTGGGTCTCCTCCGTGCTGGGCCCTCCAGAGTTCCTGGTGCTCCAGCAGCACGTGAGTCCGGTGGGAGGCCCCTGGGGAGGTGGGCGTGAGGAGAGGTGGGCGGGGGCCTCTGCTCCCCAGGCCCGAGCTGGTGTCCCCCCCAGCTGTCCCCCTTGAGCAGAGGAGAAGCTGCAGCAGGATCCCAGGTGGGGTCTCTCCGGGCACCTCTGAGTGCTGTCCCGGGGTGGGTGCCCGTCCCGTCCCTGCCCTCTGAGAGCTGCTGGGGTGGCTGGTCTGGCTCTTCCTGCATCCCAGGTGGAGACAGGAGAGGGGAGAGTGAGTCCTTTTCCTCAGTGAGACAGAGTCCCTCTTGACCAGCCCCGCACACAGTACCACCCAGCTCCACCCTCCACACCACCCAACCTGCAGTCCCCTGTCACCCCACACCAACCCTAAACACCCGCACCCCACCCTCACCACCCGCACCCACCTCGTCTCCACCCTGCAACCACCCTCACTCCACCCCTCTCTCCATCCCTCACTCCACCCTTTCTCCTGCCCCTGATTTTCACTTTCTGTGAGGGATTCCAAGCGCTGTGGGTCCGCCGTGCTCTCGGGTCTCGTGTGGACGCTCCTCCCCGAGCTCTCCGCCCGGACCAGGGGCTGAGCCTGCTGGAGGCGCCTTCTTGGGCAGACGCTGGGGCCACCATGTCCGCTGGGTGCCCGCACTGGCCGCCCTCCAAGCACCAGGCCAGAGCGGTGCCGGGCCTGTGGAGCCTGGGGCCTCAGTCGGCCCCCGCGGCCCCTGCGCCGGCTGCTCTCGGCCGCCCCTTTCTCAGGCCGCCTTTGGGCGGGGTGCCTGACCGCGCGAGACCCCTCACCCCGTTCTGGGCCGCAGGGAAGGTGTCCATCCAGAAGGAGGACTTGCAGAAGTACCACAACAGGGACACCTGGTTCCAGCTGCAGCACGTGGACGCCGACTCGGAGGTGCAGGTGAGCCGGCCGGGGGCAGCACTGGACAGCCCGCCTGCTGTCCTCTCGTGCACCGCGGTTCTCGCGCGGGTGGCGGCAGCCTGAGAAACGCGCGTCCGCGAGCGTGCTGACCCCTCCCTGAAAGAAGAGGAGCAGGGGGGAGAGGGGCACGGCTCCCCTGCTCGTGCCCGTTTGTGAGGGCCGGGCCTCTGCCCCGTGATTGCAGGGATGAGAGGAAGGGCCAGTCAGACAAGGATGCTGGGAGTGTGCTGGGGGCGGCTCCCTTCCCAGCGCTGGGCTTCTCCCCGACCGTCGACCCCTTTCCTGGAAAGGCCCCTGCCCACCGTGAGCCGCGTCTGGAGGACGCCGCCACTTCTTACGGCTCCAGCTTGTGGAGGGTCCGTGGCACTGAGTCTTCCCGTCCCGGACACCTGCTCGCCTGCACACACGGAGCCTGTACCTCACACAGGAGCCTGACCCGTACAGGAGCCCATCCCCCACAGAAGCCCATCCCTCACAGGAACCCGACCCCCACAGGAGCCCGTCCCCCACAGGAGCCCATCCCCCACAGGAGCCCGTCCCCCACAGGAGCCCATCCCGCACAGGAACCCGACCCCCACAGGAGCCCGTCCCCCACAGGAGCCCATCCCCCACAGGAGCCCATCCCCCACAGGAGCCCGTCCCCCACAGGAGCCCATCCCGCACAGGAACCCGACCCCCACAGGAGCCCGTCCCCCACAGGAGCCCATCCCCCACAGGAACCCGACCCCCCCAGGCGCCCATCCCCTGCAGAAGCCTATCTGTCTCTGAGGAGTCTGTCTCCCACAGGAGCCTGTCCCCTGTCCCCTGAAGAGCTTATTCCTTCTCCTCTCCTGCCCCTGCTGCCTCTCGGTGAGGCCAGTGCAGGCACTTGGGGGAATGAGCACAGGACTCAGCACTACCCTGTGCCCAGACGAGGGACACATGGCCCCAGGGCACTTGCAATGGGTGGTAGGTCTGTTGTGTCTGCAGAACGGGGCTGTGTAAGGTGATTTGTGAAGTGACCCTGTGATCCCCGGCCCCATGAGCAGCGCTGTGTGAGGTACCCTGTGAGGTGATTCTGCATCTCTGTTAGTAGGGTGGTGTGAGGTGACCCCATGTCCCCATGAGCCAGGTGTGTGAGATATCTATGACCTGGTCTCATGTTTCCATGAGCAGAGATGGCTGTGTGAGGTTACCTTGTGAGCTTGTGTCCCCATGAACAGGGCTGTATAAGGTACCCTGTGAGATGATTCTATGTCCCCAAGAGCAGGGCTGTGTGAGATATCCTGTGAGGTGATCCTTCCTGTGAGCAGGGCAGTATAGAATACCCTGTGAGGTGACTGCCCTGTGTTTCCATGAGCATGGCTGTGTGAGGTCACCCTATGAGCCTGTGTCCCCATGAGCAGACCTACGTAACTTACCCTGTCCCCATGTGTGAAGTGAACCTTTGAGCCTTTGTCCCTGTGAGCAGGGTCTGTGAGGTGACCCTGTGTCCCTGTAACCAGGTCTCTGAAGTGACTCTGTGTCTCTGTGACCAGATGTGTGAGGTGACCCTGTGTCCCTGTGAGACGGTTTGTGAGGTGTCCCATGTCCTGATGAGCAGGTGTCTGAGGTGAACAATGTCCTGGTGAACAGGGTCTGTGAGGTGACCCCAGGTCCCTGTGAGCAGGTGTATGAGGTGACCCCGTGTCCCTGTGAGCAGGTTTGAGCAGTGACCCATGTTCTGGTGAGTAGGTGCATGAGGTAAACAATGTCCTGGTGAACAGGGTCTGTGAGGTGACCCCGTGTTCCCGTGAGCAGGTGTGTGCGGTGACGCAGTGTCCCATGTCCTGGTGAGCAGGTGTGAGTTGACCCCGTGTCCCTGTGAGCAGGTGTGTGAGGTGTCCCATGTCCTGGTGAGCAGGTGTCTGAGGTGAACAATGTCCTGGTGAACAGGGTCTGTGAGGTGACCCCGTGTCCCTGTGAGCAGGTGTGTGAGGTGACCCATGTCCTGGTGAGCAGGTGTGTGAGGTGACCCCATGTCCCTGTGAGCAGGTTTGTGCGGTGTCCCATGTCCTGATGAGCAGGTGTCTGAGGTGAGCAATGTCCTGGTGAACAGGGTCTGTGAGGTGACCCCGTGTCCCTGTGAGCAGGTGTGTGAGGTGACCCATGTCCTGGTGAGCAGGTGTCTGAGGTGAACAATGTCCTGGTGAACAGGGTCTGTGAGGTGACCCCCAGTCCCTGTGAGCGGGTCTGTAAGGTGACCCCGTGTCCCTGTGAGCAGGGTCTTTGAGGTGACCCTGTGTCCCTGTGAGCGGGTCTGTGAGGTGACCCGTTTCCCTGTGAGCAAGTTTGTGAGGTGTCCCATGTCCTGGTGAGCAGATCTATGAGGTGACCCCGTGTCCCTGTGAGCAGGTGTGTGAGGTGACCCATGTCCTGGTGAGCAGGTCTATGAGGTGACCCCGTGTCCCTGAGAGCGGGTGTGGGAGGTGCTAGGAGTGACCACTCCCTGACCACCGTCCCTGTGTCTTTCAGGGGAAGGTCCACCTGGAGCTTCGTCTCAGTGAGGTCATCACTGACACGGGTGTTGTCTGCCACAAGCTGGCTGCACGGTAAGACAGGACCAGCCGCCGTGCCGTCGACTCCTCCTTTCACCCTGCTGTTCTGGACTCCTCACTGCTTTTCTGCTGTTTTCCGAGGTTCTGGAATGTTCTTCACTCTCAGGAAGCAGTGTCAGCCCTACAGGCGCGAGTTGGCTGGCGAATGGCTGTAGTCAGCGTGACTCCCGTGAGGTCTGCCAGTGTGCAGTTGACAGCTCTGGGTTAGACAGAGCACTCAGGCCGTGGCACCCAGTAGTGATGGCACGTGGGTGTCTGAGGCCAGAGGCACAGCTGACGCTGCAGTCAGGCCCCATCCCGAATCTAGACCTCTCTCTAGCCCATGATGCTCGGTGAGTGTGAACATGAGAGTGTACACGTGTGTGTTCATCTGAGCATGCATGTGCATGAGTGGGAGGTGTCATGAGTGAGGGTACAGATATGAGCACATGTGTGCATGCACCACTCGTGTGTATGTGACTGTGAGGCTGCACATGATTGTGCATGTTTGCCTGTGCATGAGTGCACATGTGAGTGAGGGAGCTTTCGTGTGTATGCACAGACACATGAGAAGTCACACATGGGGGACACAGGGCTGTGTGAAGGCACATGTAGGACACACGGAAGTACATAAGACACGGGAGACATGTAGAGACATGTAGTAGGACACATGTAGAGACATTGGACACATAGGATGTGTGGAGAACATTTAGGGACACAGGACACTGGAGGCACATGTTGAACTATGGGGGTCATATGCAGGTCCAGTATGGAACATGTGCAGATGACCTGTGGAAACATGCAAGACACATGAGGCACACGGGATACATGAAGGTCATGTGTGGATGCTTGTGTAGGACACATGCAAGTCACTTGGAAATCTGTGTGGAGGCCTGTGTAGGACATGTTTGGGTCATGTGTGGAGTCGTGTGTAGGATGCATGCAGGTCACATGTGGAGGCACATGTAGGATGTGTGCAGGTCATGTGTGGAGGCACGTGTTGGATGCATGCAGTCACGTGTGGAGGCACTGTAGGTCATGTGAGGGCCATGTGTGGAGGCACGTGTTGGATGCATGCAGTCACGTGTGGAGGCACTGTAGGTCATGTGAGGGCCATGTGTGGAGGCATGTGTGGGATGCATGCAGGTCACATGTGTAGAACATGTGGGGAGACCCCACGTACTGGAGTCGAAAGTTAGCCCATACCCTCACCATGTGACGTGGGACAGCACTTCCTCCGTCTGCCATTTCCTGGTGCCACGTGTGAGTGGCATCGGCTAGGGTGTGGAGAGAAGGGGCTGAGGTAGGGCTTCCCCCGTGGCCTGCACCCCGGTAGGGTCTCAGGGGCAGTGGGCAGACCACGGCAGAGGGCTCACGCCTCCAGGGGCCGCCCCGGGCTCAGTCCTGCCCCTTTCCAGCAGTCTGTTCCCTGCCCCGGGACACCTGGTGACTTTGTGGCCGTTGTGTTGTGCCCGGCTCTGCCACACAGATGTGTTGCCTCGTCTGAGGACCGATGGGACCCACAGGCTGCTCCCCGGGGGAGACCTGTCCTGCCGGCATCTCACTGCAGAGGCTCCTGTGTGGGAATGGGCTCTCGGGACTCGGAATCCCCGGAATCAGGACCGTCTCCTCATCTTAGAAGAGGGTGATCACACCTCCAAGACTGATTTCTGATGACGGACAGTCTCAGGGGCCAGAGCTGAGCTCTGGGCCCACCTTTGTGGGGTCCCAGTCCCTACCGCAGGGGCCACTGATGGTCTTCTTCCCCGAGGCTAAGGGCCCCTCAGGTCCAGGTGTCTCTTGGGGGTCCCTGGACGTGCTGGCTGGCATCCTGACACACTTCAGCTCAGCTCCTCCCACACGAGGGGGCGCCTGCAGCCCTGCACCCTGGCCCAGACTGGTTCGTGGGCTCTCTGGTCTCCAGCTGAGCCCCAGGGGCCCTTAGCCTTGGGCTTGGACCTGGGCAGTGCAGTCAGCGTCTTTGGGGTCAGCCGAGAGTGGCTCCTTGGCTCCTGGCAGCTCACGGTGGCTCAGACTTGTCCCTGCCTGCTCCTGCGTCCCGAGCCTTGGCCTTTGCTGTCTTGCCGTCATGGTGGTGGCCAGCAGTGTGCGTGTCTCCCTCTGTGGCCTGCCTGGACTAGCTCTTGCGTGGCGTGAATGGCTTCCCTTCCTAGCGCGACCTGCAGCCAGGGTCAGCCTCATCTCATTCTTCTCCCGTCACTGTCACTTAGAAATATCTGGGAGCCACCTCCAGGCCCGGCGAGCTGGTGGAGCGTGAGGACATGAACACGCGTGTGCAGACACGCGTTTGCGAGGGGCCTGAGCACGCGTGTGCGGGCGAGTGCTCAACAGAGGCTGAGCACTGTCTTTCTCTTTGCTTTGCTTTGGGGCTCTGCTCCTGGCTCTGTGCTTGGGGGTCTCTCCCGGCAGGCTCTGGGGTCCACGTGTGGCCCTGGCCCTGGGGGTTGAACTTGGGTCAGCCGCGAGCAAGTGCCCTGCTTGCTGTACTGTCCACTCGAGCCCCAGTTTCGTTTGTTTGTTTGTTTGTTGTTTTTGTGGCGTTTCTTGGAGGTGGGTTGATAGGCCTGAGCAGGCCAAGGAATGAGCCAAGCAGGCAGACGTGTAACAGTGTGGCCGTGGCCTGGGGCCAGAGAGGAGGGCAGGAACAGGGGGACTTGGCTGCTCCCATGAAGCTCTGGACCCGGGTCTCCTGCTCCGTGCCTGGGCGGGAAGGTGGCCTGGCCCAGACCCTCCTCCTCTTTTCCCTCTTGTGCCCGGCTGCCCTGGCGTCCGTCCACTGCCTGGCCCTCTCCTGGTGGTCTCCTGGCCGAGCAGTGACTCGTGGCAGCCTGAGTTCGTGAGGGCCACCGAGGTGTCCCTCAGTGGCAGTGAGGCAGGGCCCCCGGCCCCCGAGACCCTGCCCAGTAGATCCTGTCTCAAGGCAGAACTCAGGCACTGCTGACACCACGCCTGCCCGGGGGCAGAAGGAGGGGGCAGGGGTCTGGCGATGGTCTGTGGGTGTCCAGCCACCAGTCAGGCTGGACGCTGTGCTCCTGCCGCAGGGGGAAGTGGCTGAGCCGAGGCAGGAGGGAAGCAGAGCTGGCCCCTGAGGCCGGCGTCTCAGTCGGCGGCTCCCACGGTGGCTCGGGCCCTTCCGGGCGTGTGAGCCCGCTGCCCTGGCCTGCCGAGCCTGCTGGCGTGGTCTGAGCCTGCCTGTTCCCAGGGAAGGGGGCCCGGGCCCGAAGGACGGAAGCCCCTGTGGGAGGGCCGGCAAGTGGCACCCGCCCCAGCCGGGTCGACGCCCAGCCCTCCTGGGGGGAGGCAGAGACCGCTTAGTGCTGGCGCCGCTCTTGGGGGCGTGGCGTGTGCCAGGGACTGTTCCCGGGTGCTCGGCCCTTCCTGCCTCAGCCTCAGCTGTCCCTTTGCTGCTGTCTGAGGGAGGCCCGGCCCGGCCCAAGGCAGGCCGTCTGGGCTCACTGAGGCCGGAGGATCGGGAGATGCGGGCAGTGAACGTTCTAACGGCTCGCAGACAAGTCTCAGGTGCCTCCCGGACCACGTGCAGAGCCTGGCCTGCTGCGTCCCCCTGTGCCCCTCGGCCCGAGCCCCCGTGAGCACCCTGTGTGGCCTCAGCATTGCCCCCCGAGCCCGTCCAGGCCCCGTTGTCCAGGCACAAGGGCATGGCGAGCGGCCTGCTGTTTCGGGGACGGCTGCAGCGCCGGGAGAAGGGGTGCCCAGGGCCGCCCCTGAGACCCGGGGAGACGCGCGGCAGGGGTGCGGGAGAGAGGGGGAGGCCACAAGTGAGCGGACACCAGAGGGGGCTGGGGTGGACCCTGCTCCCCTGTCCCAGACCTGCGGGGCCCAGTGGGGACTGCTCTGGCCGCTCGCAGGGCTGCCAAGGGCCAGGCAGGGCAGGGTACTCGTGAGAGAGGCCCTGACCCTGCGGGGCCTGTGTCCCGGGACCCTCAGCTCAGGGCCCACCTCCACCAGGTTCCGAGAGCCCGTCAGCCGCGGGAGGGAGCCCAGGTGCAGCACCGGAGACGGGACGGGCAGCCCGGCCGCGGGGCTGCGTGTCTGAGCCGGCCCCACACAGGCAACTCAGCCAGGCAGAGGCCCACGGGCAGGGTGGGCTCCTGAGCCTCCGCACCCCCGCCAGCGCTGCCCCTCGGACCACCTCGCCCCTGTATGGCAGAGGGGCCGTGGGCGCTGGCCCCCCGCCACACAGACCCCCGACAGCCACGCAGGGGCCACAGCCCTTCCGACCACCCCGTGTCTCCACAGCATCCTCGAGTGCCAAGGCCTCCCCATTGTGAACGGGCAGTGTGACCCGTATGCCACCGTGACACTGGCAGGGCCCTACAGGTAAGTCACTCCACCCCGCCACGCCCACCCCTGCCACGGCCCGTGTCTGTCTGTCCCTGGGCTTCTGCTCAGGAAGCTCCGGGTTGCACGACTCCATGACTCCCGGGCCGGGAGAGAGAGGCTGGTGCCCTCCTCGGAGCTGGAGGCGGTGCTCGTGCCGTGACCCCTTTTTTCCTCATCACTTTCCCTCTCTCTGGCTCCAGGTCAGAGGCCAAGAAGACCAAGGTGAAGAAGGAGACCAACAACCCGCAGTTTGATGAGGTGTTTTATTTCGAGGTCGGTGCCTCTCGGAGCCAGTCAGCCCCCTGGGCCCACCCGCAGGCCCGTCCAGGGCTGCTGCGTCCCTCGGGGTGTTCCTTCCCGGTTCTGAGTTCAGTGGCGCCGTGTTAGTTCTTGCCAAACTTCGGGGCTGGTTTGGGCTTTGCCGCTTCTGGCTTCGCCGAGCGAGAAGCAGTAAGAGGTGCGATGTGATGGGAACTTTCCAAACGCAACACACGGGGGGTGGGGGGAAGGGGCAGACCCACCCCCGTGGGCTCAGCTGGGGTGGGCACAGCCAGGAGGGCAGACCCGGAGTAGGCACATCTGGCACATCTGGCACATCTGTCAGCCAGAGCAGGCAGGTGCACTCGCTGTCCCTGCCCACAGGTGACCAGACCCTGCAGCTACAGCCGGAAGTCACACTTTGACTTCGAGGAGGAGGACGTGGACAAGCTTGAAATCCGGTGAGTGGACTCAGGACCCTGCTTGGCCAGGGCTGCCTGCCTGCGGGTGTGGACAGAGGCTCCAGCTTCTCGGTGACTCGGGACTGGGGCTCTGCGGGTGTAGGTGCAGGGACAGCACTGCCCCCGGGTGCCATGCCCTCTGCTGGGACTGCAGCGTAGGACACGTCCCAGCTCGCTGTCCACAGGACAGCTCACCCTGCCACAGCCACTGCCCCTCTATGCTACTGCCCCGGCGTGACGCTCGGTACCACTGTGTGAACCTCGATGTCAGTGCACCACCACACGCCACTACGGGACACTCCGTGCCACTCACTTCATGCTACTACACGCCCCTGCACGAGCCTGCATGTCACCACTTGTCACATGCTCCATGCAGCCTGGTCCCTGGAGCCGAGTCCTGGCCGGTCGAGGGTCTCGCTTCAGGAGCCCCTGGCTCTGGGATGGACACCCGCGGAGCCTCTTCCCAGCTCCCCACCTCCCCCCAGGAGGCCCGGGCACTGTGATGGGGTCTTGACTGGGTCACACCTCTGGGCCTGGTGGGGTCCCAGTGGGGTTCCAGTGGGCCCTGCACCCCATTTGGGCCAGCTTCTGAGGAGCATGGTACACGCCAAGTCCCCACGTCTGCCACCTGCTGTGCTTCCCTGAGCTGCACCGAGTAGGTGCCCTCCCGTGGCCCCGAGCCCCTCCGAGCTGCGCTCGTGGGTGTCCTCCACGTGGCCCCATCCCCCTCCGAGCTGCTTGTACTTCCAGTGCAAATCCTGAGTGGGTGTAGTGACTGGGAGCTCTGGAAATTTCCTCAGAGGGAGCTGCTGCCCTGGGCTTGCCCGTCCTCATGAAACCAGAGCCAGGAGCACTTTTCGGTCTGGGCTGAGTGTAGGGGTGAGGTCTGGCCCTGTTCTCCCGACACGTGAAACATGGAGAATGTCCGAGGGACCCTGGGTGATGAGACGTCGGCAGTGTGGAGGCGTTGGAGGGTCCACGGGGGTCCACAGGTCCTGCTGGCGCGTGTGGGACGCTCTTTCCCCTCTGCTGGTCTGCTCAGACGTGTCGGGCCACAGAGTTGCCTCTGCTTTCCAGGGTTCTCGAGGGCCGGGTGGTGTTGGTCCTTCTCTCAAGGAGTGACTGCTGTGTTGGTCAGGGCTGCTGTCCCTTCCAGCTGTCCATCCCTCGCTGTGCCCCCAGCCGTGGGCAGCAGTGCCACCTGCGTGACCAAGCGCGGCGCCTGGCGTGCTGGCCGGTCAGCAGCTGTGGGGTGCAGGACGTGTCAGGGCTGGGGGCAGGGATGCGGGTCACCCCGTCCCGTCGCAGAGGCGGGTCCTGTGTCCTGACCCAAGCCCGGAGCTGGTGGGCGAGAGAGCCAGTGCCCGCAACCCGCCCCACCCTGACGCGCGGGGCCGTTGCAGGGTCGACCTCTGGAACGCCAGCAACTTGAAGTTCGGAGACGAGTTCCTGGGGGAGCTCAGGATCCCCCTGAAGGTGCTGCGCCAGTCCAGTGCGTACGAAGCCTGGTAAGGCGGTGGCCGTGGGGCGGGGATGCCCTGTGCCCTCCGCTCCGCCCTGGCCTCTCGCCGTGCCCAGGGCGGAGAGTTCCCGTCTGGGGCAGGGCACTGGGCGTGGGGAGCGAACGATGGCCCTGCTGGGCGTGAAAGCAGCAGGGCCCGCTGGCGGAGCGCCCACCTGCGCCGGCGCCGTGGCTGTGTTCTCGGGCTGTGAGCTCCCGCGGGGTCTCCTGAGGAGAGGGCTCACCCGCGGGGCCCCTGGCGCCAGCCTGGGCGGGAGGGTCTCACTGCCTTGCACCCCCAGGTACTTCCTGCAGCCCCGGGACAGCGGCGGCAAGAGCCTGAAGCCGGGCGACCTGGGCTCGCTGCGCCTGAACGTGGTGTACACGGAAGACCACGTCTTCGCCTCGGACCACTACCAGCCCCTGCGGGACCTGCTGCTCAAGTCCGCAGACGTGGAGGTGCCTGTGCCCTGCCTGCCTGTTCGCCCCGACCCCGCGGGCCCCCGTGCCTTTGCGTCACCCGCTGGGCGGGGGTCTGCCCCAGGACACCCGCCTTTGCCTTTGCTGGGGGCCCAGACCACACGGGGCCCCGACGTCGGGTGTGTGGCCACACGTGCTGTCCGGTCCCGGAACGAGATGAGGGTGGGCAGGAGGCCGCAGGCCACACCACCGCACCCGGGAGCACGTGGGCCGCTGCAGCCGTGACAGGGCGTTTCCCGGACGCGCGTGTTCCTCTGTGGAGGTGGGGGAGGGGCTGGGGTCCCCAGGTCACGCCCGCCCCTCCGCAGCCCGTCTCGGCGTCCGCGGCGCACATCCTGGGAGAGGTCTGCTCCGGGAAGCAGGAGGCGGCAGTCCCGCTGGTGCGGCTCTTCCTCCACTACGGCAGGGTCGTGCCCTTCATCAGCGCCATCGCCAGCGCCGAGATCCGGCGGACCCAGTGAGTGGGGACGGGACGGGCGAGGGCCCGCAGGGTCTGGGACAGAGAGGCCCTGGCCCCCGTGCTCGGGACCGGGCACCGCTGTCTGCTGGTCTCCTGAACCCAGAAGGCATTCTCCTGGGCTGCCCGTTCTGCGTCCTGGAGTCAGGCCTGGGCCGCTGGGTGCCCTGCACCCTGCCCGGTGGGGCCTCACCCCTGCCCCGTGGGGCCTCACCCCTGCCCCGTGGGGCCTCACCCCTGCCCCGTGGGGTCTACACCCCTACTCTGTGGGTCTCACCCCTGCTCAGCTTGTCCCTGGGCTCTGCACCCCTGGACACTCTGCATGCTCCACTGGGGTGCAGGCCTCCTGGTGCTGTTTCCAGGGACCCCAACACCATTTTCCGCGGAAACTCACTGGCGTCCAAGTGTATTGACGAGGCCATGAAGCTGGCGGGGATGAACTACCTGCACGTCACCCTGAAGCCCGCCATCGAGGAGGTGGGTCGCCTCCTCCTGGGTGAGGCTTCCTGGAGCGCTCGGTCGTGCGGGCAGGCAGAGTTAGGGGCGCCCCTGCACGAGACGGTGTCTGAGCCTCACCTGGCAGACCGTTACTCCCGCCTTCCCTGAAGCGGAGAACAGGCCCGCCAGGGGAGACCTGGGTTTGCCAGAGATGAAGGACGTGTGAGAAAAGACTGGTTCTGAAAGTGCGGACACCCCCTGCCCCCTGCAGAGTAGACATCTCCTCCTTCACTGTGGACACCCCTCTGTAGCATAGACACCTCCCCCCGTGCAATGTGGACACCGACCCCAGCAGAGTGGACACCCACCTGTGCAGTGGACACCCCCCCCTGCAGTGTGGACGCTCTACCCTGCACTGTAGACACCCCCACCCACTGCAGTGTGGATGCCCCTGCAGTGTGGACGCCCCTGCAGAGGGCGCGGCCTCATTTCCCGGCGGCTGTGGATGGAGGCCGTGCCCGCTTCCATCCTGAATGGCTCAGTGCTTCCTCCCCTGGGCAGCTGCTCTGTCCTCTCAGGTCCGTTGCGGTGTGTGCGGTGGACAGTGGGGTGGTCCCGGCTGGCCCTGAGGGCGAGCCCACCCAGGGCACTGCCGCCCTCCGCTGGGTGTCGCACGTCTGGCGCCTGGCTGGTGCCCAGCTCTGTCCCGCTCTGAGCCGCCCTGGCTGGCCTCCCGCTTCAGGCCTTGTCCTTGTAGGTCCTGCAGAGCCACAAGCCCTGTGAGATCGACCCCGTGAAGCTCAGGGACGGCGAGAACCTGGAGAGCAACATGGTGAGGGGCCGCCCGAGCCGCGGCACCGGGGCTCTGTGGGACCCTCTGCGCTCGGCTGCCCGTCCTGTCCCTGCCCGACGGGGCCGCCGGCCTGTCCCCGCCTGCCGCTCGGGCCCTCGCCTGCTGCCTGCGCAGTGGCCCTGCGCTGCTGCCGGGCTGGCCAAGCCAAGCAGTCCTGCCCCTGGAGCCTCCCCGGGGCCCTCCCTGGAGCCCCCCACACCATGGACCAACCGTGCCAGAGCCACGAGAGGCTGGCTGCACCCCTGCCCTGACGGTCTTGTCTTTGAGGAAGAGGGGCCCCCGCGTGGAGGAGAGGGGCCGGGACACTCCTTTCTGGGCCCCGCGAGGCCGCTCCGAGAGGGCAGGGGAGCGGACCGGCCTGGCCTCGGCTGACACTGCTCTCTGCAGGAGAACCTGCGGCAGTATGTTGACCGGGTCTTCAGCGCCATCACCAAGTCGGGGGTCAGCTGCCCCACCGTCATGTGCGACATCTTCTTTTCTCTCCGGGAGGCAGCTGCCAAGCGCTTCCAAGGTGAGCTGCAGAGGAAGCCCCGCGGCCCTGAGAATCCTCCACGGGCCGGGTGGGGGGGCCTGGTCCTGACCTGCTGCCGGACCACGGTGCCCAGCCAGACGCTGGCCTCCCCTCCTCACTCATGGTCACTTGCGCTCATCCGTGCTCACTCACAGTCACCTGTCGTCACTTGCAGTCGCTCTGAGCCACTCAGTCGTTCGCTGTCACAGTCACTTGTGGTCACTCGGTCACACACTCACCATCACTCACAGTCGTGGCCACACAGTTGCTTTCCGGGGCTCAGCACCGCTCACAATTATACTCACAGTCACCCAGTCACTTACACCGTCATCACTCGCAGTCACTCACAGTCCCCTCCTGTCGCAGTCACGGTCACTCACAGCACTCACATCACCTGTCACATTGTTCAGTCACTCACAATCTCTCCGCATCATCACTCACAGATACTCACGGTGATAGTCGCTGTCACAGTTGCTTGCCATCACAACAGTAACCTGCTGTCAGTCACTCTCTTCACAGTTGCTCACGGTCACTCAGTCACCTGCAGTCTCTCACTGTCACTCACCATCACTCTGCGTTGTTCACAGCCACGTATCCCTCACAGTCACAGTCATTCACCATCGCTCATAGTCGCTCACCATCACTCACACTCAACCGTTCACCATCACTCACACTCACAGTCACTCTCCTTCACTCACAGTCACTCACTGTCACCGTCACTCACAGTCCGAGTCTCTTGCATCATTCGCATCACTCACTGTCACCGTCACTCAGTCGCTCACTTCCCTTGGACTCTGGGTCCTGGTCCTGTTCTGCAACCCTTCGGAGGGGTCCACAGGGCTGAGCGTTCCCTCTAGTGCCGACTGTGGAGGCTGGGGGGGCAGGGTTCTGCACAACCCTCTCTGAGTGAAGCAGAGATGCCCGCTGGCAGGGTGCAGAGTGGCCTCCGGCTCTGCCCATTGCCACCCTCCTCCCTGGGAAACCGAGTCAGGCCACCCGTGTCTGGAGTGTGGAGGGCAGCGCCCGAGCCCAGATGCGATGGGAGAAGCGTGTCCCAGCCCAGTGAGCTGGCCTGAGGCAGTCCCCCACGTCAGCCTGAGCTGGCAGCGCTGGCCTCGACCGCAGGGGAGGGAGGCAGACAGATGGCGGTGGGGAAGGGGTGATGGGCAGAGATGAGGGACGGGACCCCGGGCAGGCTGGCACTCCCCCAGAAGGACGCCACTCGGAGGGCTGCACGCAGGCCAGCAGCACCCAGCAGGGCCTGGCCCTAGCGCCCCGCTCACCCTGTGTCTGGTGGGGACAGACGACCTGGACGTGAGGTACACGGCCGTGAGCAGCTTCATCTTCCTGCGGTTCTTCGCGCCTGCCATCCTGTCCCCCAACCTCTTCCAGCTCACGCCCCACCACACGGTGAGTGTCGGGCGTCCGTGCTCCTGGGCCCCCCGAGAGCAGAGCTGCCAGTGCTCCGTCAGCCCCAGCCCTGAGAGCCACGGCCTCGCCACCAGGCGTGGGCCGTGCAGGGTCCAGCCTGCAGCCCAGCACGGGCAGAGCAGGCACAGGGCAGGGGCCGGGGGAACAAACATGGCAGGGGGCACGGTCAGGGCAGGGGGCAGGGCTGTGGTCTCCAGGGACCCCTGTCTTGTGCTGCGCGGGGTCCCAGGGCCTTTTGCTGCTGCCTCCCACGAGCGGGCGGTCAGAGCGCCCACCACAGCTGCCCATCACTGCCAGTCAGCGGAAGGTGCCAGCCCCGGCCCCCACACCACCAGGGTCCCTGCTGGGCAGAACTCAGGGCAGCAGCTGTGTCCCCAGCCAGCCCCACCAGTCCAGAACCGGACCCCCGGGCCCTGCGGGAGCCACCAGGACCAGGAGGGTCAGCGGGGAGACGGGTGGGGGGGAAGGGTCTCGCTCCACATGCTCCTGGGCTGCTGGGCTGGAGGACGCGCAGCTCCGTCCTGACCCTCTGCAGACGGGGGTGGGGTCTGGGCTGGGGGCTGGGTCAGAAGTGAGGTCGGAGTCGGGGCTAGAGTCTTGTCCAGGCTCTGCTCACATCTGGGTAGGTGTCAGGGTCCAGCCTGGTCAGGGGTCAGTCTGGGGACAAGGGCAGGTCGGGGCTGGCCCCGGAACATCACTGGGGATCTGCGTTCTCATCTACGAGCTCAGCAGCTGAATTCTCACCTGCTCCCACGGGTGCAGCTGCTCTGTGGCTGCGACTCCGGGCCCTGCAGTGCCTGGCTAAGGCCACTGTCCACTCTGCCAACAGGACCCGCAGGTGTCGAGGACACTGACGCTCATCTCCAAGACTGTCCAGACGCTGGGCAGTCTGTCCAAGTGCAAGGCTGTGAGTCCTCCCTGGAGCATGTGCGGGAAACTGCTCCCGTCTACGTGGAGAGCAGGATGTGTGTGCAGGAGGCGTGTCAGGCGCGAGCCCTGGGGGCCTGCTTTCTCAGGACGGCAGGGGTCCTCTGCTGGGGCTGAGTTCTCACCTGCCCCGAGTCTGGGCAGCAGGAACCAGGTTCCCTGCAGACGTCCCAGGGTGTCTCGGGTTCTGGTGAGCAGAGTGGAGGTTTGGCGCCGGTCTCACCTCCACTGCCCGGGTGTGCCGGGCTCAGACTGGCCCTGGTGCCCCGGTGCACAGCCCTGCTCGGGGGTCTCCCAGCCCTGCTGAGTGGGTGGCTTCAGGAGCACCCACATCAGGAGTCCATGCAGCCATGGGGAGCTTGTCGAGGCCACTGGCCGTGGCAAAAGGCTCCCCACGTACTGTAGGGGCCCAACGTCCTCCCCGGGGGCCAGGCAGGCGCATCAGCCCCCGCACGCCGGCTGGGGGTCCCGGGCCGCGGTTGGGCCCTGGGAGCTCCTCTGAGACCCGTTTCCTTTCAGGCCAGCTTCAAGGAGTCGTACATGGCTGCGTTTTACGACTTCTTCAACGAGCAGAAATACGCCGACGCTGTGAGGAACGTACGTGCCACCGCGACCCGGCGGGCTGCCGGAACCGCTGGCACCGTGGTTCAACCCTGTCCCCAGATACTGTCCCCTGACGCCCAGTCAGCTCACCTGCCGCTCCCCGGCTGGGCAGAGGGAGGTGGAGGCTGGGCAGGCGGGGGCCTTCGGGAGCTGCTTGGAACCCACCAGTGCCCATCCGTGAGGGTCTCCCTGGGCGAGGGCTCTCCCCAGGGGCAGGGGCCTGCTCTGGGGCTCTGTCCACACCTGCCTGCACCCCCTTCTCTGTCAGTGTGGGCACACCTAGCTTGCACCCCACCTGCTCTGGCCTCGGGGGCCTGAGAAGGGCCTGTGGGGGTCTCCGTTTACACCCTCTCTGTCCCGCGGCAGTTCTTGGACTTGATCTCTTCGTCCGGGAGGAGAGACCCCAAGAGTGTAGAACAGCCCATCCTGCTCAAGGAAGGGTAAGAGGGCCACGCCCAGAGGGGAATGCTGGGGCCAGTGAGGCGAGGCTGGGGGGGTCAGTGGGGCCAGGCTGGGGGTCGTCAGTGGGGCCAGGCTGGGGGGGTCAGTGGGGCCAGGCTGGGGGTCGTCAGTGGGGCCAGGCTGGGGGGGTCAGTGGGGCCAGGCTGGGGGTCGTCAGTGGGGCCAGGCTGGGGGTTCAGTGGGGCCAGGCTGGGGGTCGTCAGTGGGGCCAGGCTGGGGGGGTCAGTGGGGCCAGGCGGGGGCCCTGTGTCGGTGGGAGGGACAAGGTCGCACTGCCCTGTGATTTCGGTCAGCCCAGCACGGGCTGTTTCCAAGGCACTGCTGTGGGTCGCTGCCCCTCAGAGTGGAGGCCGTGCTAATGTAGGTCTTTGCTGGGCAGACAGGGCGGGGATGGGGTGAGGGTGGTCCGCATGGGCACTCACCTGCCCACTGGCCCTGCTCACAACAGGTTCATGATCAAGAGGGCACAGGGACGGAAACGCTTTGGCATGAAGAATTTTAAGAGGAGATGGTTCCGCCTGACGAACCACGAATTTACCTACCAGAAGAGCAAAGGTAATGGAGGGATCTGCATCGCCCGCATCTGCATCTCTGTGTCCCTCGTGCAGCACGCCTGCCCTGGGTCCCTCCTGTCCATCTCACCTGTCACTGCATCTTCATCGAGGGAGGGCCCAGTGCAGTGGGGGCCCTGGTCTCTGAGCATTCCCCTCTCTGGCCGAGCTATGTCCCTGATTGGGAGGCAGCCTGGCAGGAGGACTCAGCGGGGGAGGGACCTTGGGATCTCCAGACGGCCCCCGTCTACTCTGAGAGGCCGCCTTGCTGGCCGGGACAAGGCTGTCGGGACTGCGGGGTGAGGTTCCTGGGACAGGGTGTGATCCTCGTGTTCTTTTAAATTCTGCCCTTCCCCCAACATGTGTCCTGTTTCGACCCTCCCTAATCCGGTATCCCAGCTCTGCTCTGACACCTGCCCCGCCCCCTGCCACATGCCCACCCCTCTGGCCACATGCCCCGCCCCTGCCACATGCCCCGCCCCCTGCCCACATATCCCGCCCCTCTGGCCACATGCCCCGCCCCCTGTCCACATATCCCACCCCTCTAACCAACCACATGCCCCGCCCCCTGTCCACATGCCCCGCCCCTACCACATGCCCCTCCCCCTCTACGTGCTCTGCTCCCGCCAGACCAAATGCTCTGTTCCTCTGACCACATGCCCTACCCCCCCAACCACTTGGTCCACCCCTCGCACCACATGCTTCACCCGCTCTGACCTCTTGCCCTCCCGGCCCTGACACCGCAGGAGACCCACCACTCTACAGCATCCCCATCGAGAACATCCTGGCGGTGGAGAAGCTGGAGGAGGAGTCCTTCAAGATGAAAAACGTGAGCACCCACCCCTGGGGCACCTGGCGGGCTCCTCGCTCCCCACATCCACCCTCGTCTCTGGACCCCCTTGCATGGTGCTCAGATCATGGCCGTGCCCTGTCCCCTGAGTGCCCGCGGGTGTGGGTGCCCCGTCCCCTGCAGATGCCCCACGGCCTTCTCAGATAAGAGCCCCTCAGGAGAGAGGCGTAGCCTTGAGTCCTGCTGGGCGCTGGGGCCCAGTCAGCATCCTGTATCCGTGCGGCCTCTTCGCAGGGCGGCTGCCACGTGCCAGGGCTGTGGGACCTCACATCTGATTCAGCAGACAGAACCCACCCTCCCTGGGTCCCGGCCTGCGTCCCACTGTCCCTCTCTTCCTGTCTCTGGGTCCCCACTGTCCCTCTGTCTATCCCTGTCCCTGTGTCCGTCCTGTGTGTCTCTGTACGTGCCTCCACCTCCTTCATGGCTGAAGCTGTCATGACCCCCCACCCCGGCCGGGCACCTGTGCTGTGCAGTGGGAACAGGAACCCGGGTGGGGTGGGAGGGGCCTTGGCACGCGCAGGTGTGAGGCAGGGCGAGCCTGAGGTCCCTGCAGGGAGCTCCTGGAGATGGGCCGTGGCCTGGCCACAGGCCATGTGTCCTGGGAGAGCCCAGAGATGGTCAGCCTGGCCCACAGGCCACACACCTGGGGAGGCTCCGGGGCCGAGTGACCAGGAGTGCAGGGGGACTGAGCAGTGGGCTGCCGTGGCCTCTCGTCCCCCTGGTGTCCTCGGGGAGGCCCCGGGCCGCATCCATCCTTCACGACCCAGACTCGCGGGCAGCGGGCACCTCAGTGCCCTGCCGGGCCTCCAGGCCCTCGGCCGCTGGGCGCCACCTTGCCGTCGGTCCCAACAGATGTTCCAGGTTGTCCAGCCCGAGCGGGCCCTGTACATCCAGGCCAGCAACTGCGTGGAGGCCAAGGCCTGGACCGACGTCCTCACCAAGGTCAGCCAGCGGAACCAGCGGCGCCTCACTGTCTACCACCCGTCCGCCTACCTCAACGGCCACTGGCTCTGCTGCAAGGCCTCCTCAGACACGGCCGCCGGCTGCACCCCCTGCACCAGGTAGGCCGGGCCAGCCGCTCGCCTGCCAGTGCCAGCCGGGACAGCACTCTGCCCGTGCACTGAGCGGGCCCAGGGAGGGGACCCCCGTGTAGCTGCGTCTGTCGCCCCTCCCGCCCTGCTGCTGTGGGCCCAGCCACAGGTGGTGCCGGGAGCCTCCCGGGGGACCTGGCCTCACCGCGCGGGCCTGGGGGCTGTGAGGGACACTGACCCGGGCCCTGGGTAGGGGACACGCTCCAGAGACGGGACCGAGTTCCCTCCTGAGGCGTCCCCGTTTGCTCCTGCCCGTCTCTTCGTGAAACGAGACACGCTTGCCCACCCCCTACTGGGGCCTCCTGCACTACCCGTAAGGCTGGTCCAGGCTGTGTCTGCTCGGTGTGTTTCCACCCCACTCTGGTCCATATCAGGACTGTCCTCCCCGCCAGGACCATGACACCTGCCCCCAGACCTGAGACTTCCGCCTTCCCCAGATCGACTCTGCCCGTCCTGCTGTGCCCTCCGCCCATACTCTCCGCCGGGGGAACAGGACCCCCACCCCGGCCTCTGACTCACTGAGGACCCACAGGCCGGCCGCCGGCTTGTCCTGGCATGTGCTGGCTGGCCCTCGGCCCTCTGGGGCCCTATAACCCGTCCCAAAGTCTGGGGACACTCTTGCCTAGACACCAGGCCCAGGCGGGGGCTGCTCCCTCATCCAGTGACCTTAGAGGCCATGTTCTTAGCGTGTCTGTTCTCTTCTGTGCTCGGCAGTGGACTCCCGGCAAACATACAGCTGGACATCGACGGGGACCGGGAGACCGAGCGGATCTACTCCCTGTTCAACTCATACAGGAGCAGGCTGGAGAAGATGCAAGGTGGGCGGTCCCACGCCTCACATGAGCACACGGGACGCGCAGGGCAGGCGTGTCCGCCGGGCAGTCTCGGCACATGTGCGTCTAGACGAGGTCGCGGGAGTGTGGACACGGCGGGCAGGGGCACTGTCTGCGTGCGCTCATGTGCACGCGTGTGCTGCGTGTGGGCATGCCTGCCCCAGAAGCGTCCCAGACCCGGCCTCCTTGTCCCGGCGGCCACTGCCTGGCTGCCTGGCGGGGGAGCGTGTCCACACGCCCCACCCAGCAACTGGCCATGTGGTGCCTCAGATGACATGTGGTGATGGGGCTCGGTGCCGGCCGAGTGGTGGGTGCCCTCCCGGGCCTGGGGACATTTGTAGGTGTCAGAGGGGCTCGTGCTGGCCCTGACCCGGGACCTCATGCTGGCCCTGACCCGGGGCCACCTGCTGGCCCCTCCTGTTCCCAACCCCTCTGCGGTGGGTGGAGGTGACCAGCACCCCGGGGACAGGGCAGGCCCGTGGTGTGGTGCAGGTGCTGAAAGCCCTGGCTCCAGGCCCTGCCCCTGCAGCGCAGTCTCCGGTCTCCACACGAGCTGACCGACGTGTCTCTGGCCGTCTGCCTCAGCACTGACCGCCTTCTCCTCCTTGCCCGCGGGCTGGCAGAGGCCTGTGGGAGTAGGTCCGTGTATGACGGGCCGGAGCAGGAGGAGTACTCGTCCTTCCTCATCGACGACCCCCAGGAGACCTACAAGACTCTGCGGCAGGTCCTGGCGGGCGTGGCCGCGCTGGAGCAAGAGCACGCCCAGTACCGGAGGGACAAGTTCAAGAAGACCAAGTATGGCAGCCAGTGAGTGTGTGGGCCGTGGGGGGTGGGTGCTGGGCCCCTGCTTCCGCCTCAGTGCCCCCGGCATGGCCAGGCGTGCATCGGGGTCCTGCGTGCAGCGCCGTGAGCAAGTCGCATGTCGTGCACACGGACCATGGTCCTGCACACGGCACCGCACACACTCATCACATGTCACACGCACACGTGCCGAAATCCTGCATGCACTATGAACACATCGCATGTGACACGTGTGTGGACCACGGTCCTGCAAATAGCACCATACACAAGTCACATGTCACACGGCACCATGCACACATCACACTCAGACATGTGTGCCACTGTTCTGCACACAGCCACAGTCACACACTTGACACCAACACACATGCTCCCACACGCATGCCTCCACGCACTCCCCCAGGACCCTGGCCTGGCTCTGTGTGGCTCTTTGTGTCCCAGATGAGGCCGAGGACCGACGTCCTCACCAAGGTCGGCCAGCGGAACCAGCGGCGCCTCACACCTGCTCTCCCCGCCCCTCTGCAGGGAGCACCCCATCGGAGACAAGACTTTCCAGAACTACATCTCGCAGCAGTCGGAGACATCCACCCATTCCATCTGAGCCCGCAAGGCCCAGAGCCTCCGCCGGGGCGCGGCAGGCCAGGACCCGTAATAGCGTTGGGCCGGGGATGCCCAGGGAGGGTGGGCGGGGATTTCCGAACATGTGCTTCTGCGTCCTGAGGCTTGGTTTGCTGGCCTTGGTCCTGGCCAGAGGAGCCCCGGAGGCCGGGCTGGGCAGAGCCGAGGGAGACACCCCCCCCAGTGCAGGGTGCGGGTCAGCCCTCTCTCCTGCCCCCAGGGAGGCGCCCGTGGCCCCAGGCGGCAGGGCCGGAGCACTGGCCAGGCGTGGCCCGCTGTCGGCTTTGCTGTCTGAGCTGGGACGGCAACTTCCGCCCTGCAGCAGTCTGGGGACACGGCCCACGTGCGCACATTCTTTTGAAGCTTTTAAAGGACTTTTTACAACTCGCCCTTTGGTACTGATCACTCAGAACATGTAGGTCCCCCTGTGGAGGACGGCCTTGGAGGATGACGAGGGGGCTGCCCTTGGACGAACGCACACCAGGGCAGCAGGAGGCTCGGGGAGGCAGGCCCTGAAGCCAGGGACCGCGGGGCAGCGGCTCCCACTGCGGTGGCGCCCCTGGTGGAAACGCCTCGTGAGACGCGGAGAGCAGGGATGACACTGGCTGTCATCAGAAGCTGGAGGAAAATGCGACACAAGGAACTTTGATCCACACTGCTACTCGGCTACGCGGAACTAAACCTTTCATGTGGAGTGTAACTTGATGTTTCTGTTACAAGATACTAATGACTTGCACCGTATTTTACTGGCCAATTAAACAGATGTTTTATTCTTTCGGAGACTGGCTGTGTTCTGACAACTGTTCACTGCCTTCACACGCATGTGGTGCTCTGTGCAGGAGCCTGTGTGCAAGACTGGTACACGCGTGTGTACACAGAGACACACATGTACACACAGACACACACACAGACATACAGACTCACAGACTTAGACACACACACACTTGCAGGCTGGAGGTAGGAGGCTTTGCGTCCGCTGTTACTCCTCGTTCCCGACGGCGTCTTCCTTGGTCGCTTCATGGAGCACATGACCTAACCAGGGCCCCAGACTCAGATGCACACACTCACATAGTCCCACGCAGGGACACAGGCTCAACGTGGGCTGTCTCTCTCTCTCTCTCTCTCTCTCTCTCTCTCTCTCTCTCTCTCTCACACACACACACACACACACACACACACACACACACACACAGGGGCCAAGAGACCTTAGCATCTACCTCACTCCCGTTCCTTCCTGAGGAGGTGCGTCCCCCACCTGGGGTCCCAGACAGTGGGGTTGTGCGCGTGACACGGGGCTACTTCCCATCCTCTGAGTCGGAGGCGATGGTGCCACGTGGGTCGGCAGACTGCCCAGCTGTGCAGGGACCCGGGGAAAGGGCTGAGCTGCTCTCCCAGGCGTGGCTTGGGGAGAAGCCCCCGCCCTGGCGGCAGAGCTGTGCTGGCTGATCTTTGACCTCTGACTCCACGGTGATGTCACAGGAAGCCCTAGCAACCAGGCCCCAGAGCTGGGCTGTGTGGGGCAGTCGCACGTCATGCTCCCCGCCTAGGGCCCTCCTCTCCCCACGACCCACAGAGGGCAGCGATGGACAAGGACAGCACAGGGGCCGTGCCCAGGAGGCACCGGCTGGGCCCGGCCTCTGGGAGCCTCAAGGCGGCCAATGAGGCGGCAGAGCTGCAGAGGAGCTGGAGCGTGGGGGGCCTGCCCCAGAAGGGGACCCCCACCCCGGTCCCGAAGCTCAGCACCGCGGCTCCGGGTAAGAGACGCACCTGAACACGCGCAACAGCTGTCATACTCACACATGAGTGTGGCTCTCTGAGCACACATGGCCCCTCTCACCTCTCTGGGCCTCTGCCCCCGCACCCGCATGTGGCCGGCATGTTCTGGATCATTCTCCTCTCAGAGCTGAGACCCAGGGGCCAGCAGGGCCCCTCACACCGTCACTTGAGTGACTGTGTCCTTGGCCGAGGCCAGAGGCCACCGCCACAGCATGTCCCCTCAGCCAGTCCTCAGCTGGGAGACCGCTATGCTGGCCCCTACCTCCGACTGCGGCTAAGACCCCCCAGGACAGTGAGCCACTGGGAGCAGGAGGGACCCCCGGGACGGGGAGATCCTGCAGCTCCCCACGCCGTGGCACCCCCGAGGCCCCTCAGCTGCCTCCGTGGAGGACATGTCCCAGGCCACGATCACCCTGTCCCCAGCCTAGTGTCTCTAAGACCTGCCCTATCCCCCCATGGCTCAGAGACCCACCCCATCCCCCTGTAGCTCAGGGACCCGCCCCGCTCCCACCCTAGTGCCTCTAAGGCCCACTCGGCCCCCGTAGCTCCGGGTGCTGCTCTGCCCCAGTTCCAGGCCGCTCTGTACAGGTCGCCCGAGCCAGGCCCTCCTCTGCGGGCTGACAGGCGGGGACCCGGCCTCGAGAGCTGCGTCCGTCTCCCGGCACCCTCTGAGTGGTGATCGGCCCGGAGGGGCGCCCACTGGAGGTGTCAGCCAAGCCCCAGACACACCAGCCGGGCCTCCCTGGGAGAGGCCTCCACACACAGACCCCTCCCCGGTCTGCCCAGGACCAGGATGTCCCAGGTCAGAGTTCTCCAACTCTGACCGAGAATCAGCACCTTGGGCCTGAGCTCCAGCACTGCAGGGGCAGAGCCCAGAGTGGGACGAGGGCCCAGCGCCAGCCCCCCTGGGCCATGGGGCTCCCGGGAGAGGGTGCCGGGCAACGGGAGACGAGGCTCTCCCACCCCCGGCGCACGCTGCCCTCACTGGCTCTTTCCTCAGAGTTGGCTGAGCCTGGAAAGCACCTCAGAGGCGCGGCTGCAGAGCGAGGCTGGTAAGGGCCTGGGCGCGGGGTGGGGCGGTGCTGACCAGCGGGGGCCCCGGTCGGTGGTCACGGCTGCAGCCAGACCCCCAAGCCCTCAGCTGCCCAAGGCCCCTGCGTCTTAGCTGGCACCCGTCCAGGCAAGCAGCCCCCGGGAATCCCAGAGCAGAGGTCTCATCTCTGACCAGGCCGACAGCCTGGGGGCAGCTGGCGGCAGTGTGGCGTGGAGCCTTCCCAGTGCTGGTCCCCACCCATCCCCCTCCGTCCCACCCTGCCCTCAGGTCGGCCTGGGCCTCCCAGACTGACTGGGCAGCACCACGGACAGCACCAGGCCCGTTCCCAAGGGGCAGCGAGCAGGGCTGGGGGGTGGCGGGGCCTCCGTCCCAGGGTGTTCACACACCGTCCCCCACCCCGGACAGCCAGGCCCCCCTGGAGGACGGCGAGCAGAACAAGGACCAGGCTGAGGAGGCCCCGGAGATGCCAGCTGCTGAGGAGGGCCCTGAGGAAGCCCCCGGCAGACGAGACCAGGTCAGGCGTCCCTTCAGCACTCACTCGGGCTGCTCCCGGGGGGGCTCGGCCTCTCACTCTCCCCTCGGGTCTTCTGCAGGAGCCGGAGACGGAGACCACAACGACCCGCCTGCAGGAGGAGGAGGCACGGACGGTGCGCGCCCCGGCCCAGGTGCTGCAGCTACAGCCCGGGAGGACCCAGGCTCAGTGCCTGGGGCGGCCCACACCCCTCTTCCATCCGCGTCCCTTATTTCAGGGCCCTGGGAGGGCCGGGCAGCGGACGTTCCTCCCCACGCCAGGACTCGAGGCAGGGTCGACCAAAGCACCGTGTGACCGGGCCAAGCCAGAGAGCTTGGCGGCCACAGTGCAGACTGGCCTCACCAGCTGGCCGTGACGGCATGGGGGCACGGCACGGTCGCACACTGGCCAGGGCACCCAGGGAACTGACCCTCTGGGCGGTCAGGAGGGGAGAGAGAAGACTGCCTCTCCTCACTGGCTGCCACGCCTGGCCGTGGACACCTTGCTGTCCACGCCACCAGAGCGCCCTGCCCACCTCCTCAGCCAGCGTGTGGAGCCCTGGGCCCACCACTGCCCGGACCAGCCCCCTCGTGACGTCTGTCCCGCCCCAGCTCAGCCCTGCCTCTCTGTTTCCATCTGCAGACGCTCTCAGTGTTTGTGGAAGTCGATCTCGGAGACCACACTGAGGAGGTAACGACCCACAGAGCACAGCAAACGCACACTGGGGAAAGTCACGCTCAGGCGAGTCCCCAGGGAGCCTCCTGTCACCCACTGGGTCACAGGCGGGAGAGGTCAGGGTGCTGAGGACTGGCTGAGGACTCGGGGACCCCTCCAGCACCATCAGCGGCCACAGGACCCAAGACACTCACATGGTCGTGCTGGACGGTGGGAGGTGTGCGGCTCGGGGCGGGGGGCCTGGCCTCTGTCTGACGTGAATGCCCCGACAGCGCCTCTGCCTCCCTGTCCTCGCTGTTCCGCCGGGAAACGGGGCGTTAGCTGCACTCACATCTCAGGGTGTCTCTAAAGCCCACGGAGCCATGCAGGTACTGAGGGAGCCTTGAGCCAGAAAACATCACCACTAGCACCACCATGGCCTGTCACCGCCCCTCATGACTGTGACCACCATCCCCCCCAGAACCACCATCCCCAGCACAGCCGTCGCTGTCACCATAGGCTCCATCATCAGCACCACCATCATTATCCGGCCACAGCACTGTAGTCGTGAGGAAGCCACATCTGAGCCCCTCCACGACAGACAGACCTGGGGGATGACCCCTGGAGTGCTGTTGTGGTCCTCTGGGGAGTGCCTGAAGTCCCTCTATAGCAAACAGGAGATTCTGACTGTGGCTGTTTTCCCCAGATTGGTCATGACCGGTTGCCCTGTGAGGACAGTCCTTTCTAAACGTCGCAGCCCGCACACACATGCACAACGATGAGACCACGGGGCACCGTACACGGCCAGAACCTAAGGGAGGCAACTCGGAGGCAGAGTGGGGACAAGGGCTCAGGATTCAGTCTCCAGACGAGAGCAGAATGCCAGTGGTCAAAGGCCAGGGCCCCTCGGGAAATTCCAGCTGGCCGTGCAGCGTGTGGGAGGGGCTCGGGGGGAGTGTCTGTGTCACGGGCGCCCTCAGCCCCTGCCCCCAAATGTTCCCTCCTCTCCCGCAGGCGGTCACAGGCACCACGAAGG